TGGTGACAGCATAGTATCCACAGGACAGATCAGAGCAAATGTGACCCAATGAGTATTAATGTAGATTTGGTATATTACTCCTCACCACAAAATAACTTTTCTACTCAACATGATCTGTAAGATGTTTGAAGAATCCCTAGATAGTATGATCATAAGATCTGTCCTCCATTGAACATATTTGGAACATGAGAGGCCTGACTGGTTCAGTTATCCAACCTACAACTCTTGTTATATTGTATTAACAGGTGAAAGAGGTGTGCAATCATGTGTAACAGGATGGTGTTAACCATCATAACAGTCATATACATATGTGAGTACAGGCCTGTGTTCACATTCAAAATAAGATAAACACTGTATTAACAAGAGGTTTCATTATTGTTGCTACATTCCTCATTTTGGAACCTATGTACACACAGACATATATATATATTGTTGGATTACTGCCTCCTGATGATAATCACAGGCAGCAAGATTTTGGAATTACTGCCTCCTGAAGGTAATTACAGGCAGTGTGAGATTTGAAAGAACCAGTCTCTCTCTTAGAGATTTTTCATAGCAAAAATACATACTGTTTTTGCTGTCATAAAATGTGAGTACTCAACTAAAGACATTGAAAGTTGCTTTGAACTCTTCACATTTTATTTAATTTCTCATTTTGTAAAATGTCTTGTCAATATATTACTTAATATTTCCTTTGTCAAATTCTATGTCTTATTTTTCCTTTGGACTTACACGAGTCCACCAAAAACTGTTAGTGAGTCAAATATACCAAGAGCTTTTAAAATCTCATCAAAAATGATGATTCCTGCTACAATATAAAGAATTAATGAATTTAATTTTTAATTAAACATTTTTTATTATAAATATAAAAGTGTACATTAAGTACCAAGTGGCAACAATCTGTTTCATGCTTTAATACAATGTTCAATATATATATATATATATATATATATATATATATATATATATGCGAGAGAGGCAGAGAGCTCAAAAGATTTTGACTCAATCAAGGACAGATTTTAAAACTAATTTTCATGTCTGGCCATTTGGCTATGTTACATTCTTCCTAAAACAAGATCATCTTCTGATTCATGCTACACTAATTTCCACCACAGGCTGGATGTGAATGCTCTGAAAACCAAGACTGAACTAAAATTCCATCAACAGCACATAGGCTCTGCACATAACTTCCATTTTACTTACACACTAAAAAAAAATAAACAATACAATCCAGAATTTCTACCCAACAGCACCCATTCCTGCTTAAAGAAACAAAATAAAATTTGGAGCTGATTTGAGCCTAAAAAAGTACATAAAAACCCATCAATGTGACATTTTCGGTAGTCAGCATTTTCATCCAAATTCACTACGCTCATTGAAAGGCAGCCTCCCATCTCCAAATGACAACTCACCAAAGGCTGTTACCGCATTGAGTCATAACTCACCTTCTCTCTTTCTCCTACCATACACCTCTGCAGACACCTTTAACAACTCCATTTATCTCCTTCTTTCAACAAGAGACATTTGCACCAATTTATCATTTTTTTGCATTTTACATTAATACAATTGTTTATTTCTTTAAACCTTTGTTATTTCTTCTTTGATCTGCCACCATATGCTTAATATAACAGCTAGATCTTTGGAAGTGGGTTTTACTAAGTATATTTTCACATGCTCTTGTGCATGTACATAACTGAAAATATGACTCCTCTGTTCACAGCTATTACTCTGCCAGACATATTCTCCATTCAGCACCCCATGTTGAGTTAGATTTTTAATTCTGAGAAAGTCTTTAAGTATTGTTGGTTGAAACATCTTGCACATCTAGAGGGTAGTGTTTATCAATACATTTCACTCAGGAGTTGGTTAACTTGAAAAGATGAAATAAGGTTGATTTGTTTCTTTGTTAATAGTTACAGACTGAAGCAAACATAGGTGTGGATGTCATGGATAAGAAGATGACAATATCTTGAAGCCCTCTTTATTTCCAAAATGAGGTTTTAATTAAATAACTAGAATAACACAACTCAACTTTTATGATATTTTCTAACAAAAACGTTGGGGGTAAGAATGCTGCAAGTGTTCTTGTATGTTTTTTTGATAGAACCTTTTAGTAATTGGATTATTTTTATTTTTTTCAAAGGTCCAGCTTATTGGTGGGGTTTTCACAACCGTATTGTTTCTCAACTTCATTTACTGGAGGTTGGGCTCTTTTCCAAACTCTCCATCTCCCATCTCATGGTCTTGAAATAATATGCTGATAGTTTACCATCATTCATTTTCACAATGTAGTATTGTGGTGTGGGGTCATTTTCAATCACTGACTTCCTGACTAGAGCTATTTGGGCTACTAACCCACACAAGTCCCAGACTCGAGTGGTTTCAGCAGCTCACTACTCTGTCTCAAATGGTAAGTGATTTGCTGTTGGTCTTTCCTATATTCCTCCCTCTCCCAAAGGGGTTCAAAGTTGGGTCACTGAGGCATTAGTAACTCTGGATATTCATCACCCTCTTGAATATTGAGCCTCAATCTTTTTTCTATTAGAACTTTACTAGAGGAATAATTGCAGTCTATAAGAGTTGCTATATGGGACAGTAGAGACATATATGGGTCTTTGCTTTCTTTCGCATGTTCTTTATTATTTTCACTTCTGCCTCTGTTGTTCCATTACTCTGGGAAAATGCTGGTCTATTTGTAATGTATTGAGATCTCACAATATCCCATAATAGCTCCATCATATCTGTTAAGTTTGAAATGAATGTTCACATTTAATTTACCATTCCCTGGTTTCCGTTATATCAGTTGGAACTGGAAGTAATATATTGCAGCAACTCTGACTTTTCTGTATACCAGTATATGCTCCCCCATGCATATCACCTCTTCCTTGTTTTCTAGTATAGCTGACTTCTGGTATATTTAACTGGCTGATGTTATTCCAAATGGTAGGCAATTAACCAGATATCTGCCAAATGAGATTATGAATGTTGTCAGCCTGCAGAATTCTTGTGACAATGTGACTTGTTAGTATCCATTGTTTGCCTTTAATTTGCTCATAATTCCTACTCCATTCAGCTGGCTGAATAGATAGTTGACAGTAGCATGTGGAAATCTCTTTTTACATAGATGTTCAAATTTATTTGTTAATGACTTCTACCTCAAAAGAATTTTGTTCTGAACCCTGCTTTCAATCACATGATTCAAATGCATTTTATAATATGAAAATGGAAATTTCTTTATTACTTATCTCAAAATTCAATGCTGTCTGCAGATTTTTATTTCTTTTAATAATTTGACACTTTTATTCAACTGATAACCATGCCATCCTCCTTGGGATGCAGGATCTGCCACTCTACTAAGGGATGTGGAACATATATATATATATATATATATATATATATATATATATAGCTGCCTTTATATGAATAGACATGAAAAGTAACTGTATTTTTTTATTTCAGAGAGACAGAGGCTCATAAATTAAGTGGCAAAATATGTGAGGTCAATAACAATGCCTTCTTTAAAAGAAAATCATATAGAAAGTTGGCAACAGAAAATGTAATGTACAATTATTTGTTGTTTTCCTCTACAAATGTCATGCTACCCTCAATAGACTAGAGCAGATGTGTTGTGTGGCTACTGGTAGAAACTTTCCTCACTTGTCAGGAATAGTATGATGTTTTAGGATGAGATTACAGATGACAATAATGAAGTGTAAAAAGATGTACAAGATATAGTGTTATAAATCAAGTGAGAAAACATGAAAGTAAATCACAATGCCTCCTTTAAAAGACAATCATAAAGAAAGATCAAATAAAATGGACAATGGAATAAGTGAAGAGCAATATTTTCACTGATAAATGCTGATTTCAAAGATATTTTTTTAACGCTTTCTTGCTATACAGTTTCTGTGATGATAGATTTACAAAGGGTTTTTAAAAAATTACATAATATATATGTGTGTATATGTGTTTCAGTTTTATATATATATATATATATATATATATATATATATATAAAACTTGCGTATATATTTTCGTTCTTCTCCCCCAATCAATGCTGTGCTATACTTGATTAACCAGATAGATAGAGCAAAGGTTGGATGGCTACTAACGGAAACTGCCCTGACATATAAGCTGTACTATGATGTTTCAGGGTGATATGTTAGATAGTGAAATTCCAGATGGTGTTAAAATGACAACTCAAACTTACACTAATTTTTTGAAGACACACATATAACCTTTCTTCAAGAAGAAGCCAAATGTTTGCAGAAAGAATATGATTATACATGACTGCACTCCACCCTATTCAGTGGAAAAAAAATAATGAATATCTAAATAAAATGAGTTTCAAAGACATTAGTTTAATGAAATTGGCCATCTTGCTTACTTGACCCTAACCCAATTGCAAAGCCATGAGCATTCTAAAAAGGAAGTCTCACATCATTAAATGGAAATTTACCAGCAAATATGAATTTTTGGAATGCTATTCTGGAGTTTGTTTCATAATTTGTTTCATTTGAAGAAAATCAAGTGTCCACAAAATCAATGAATGAACAACTTTTAAAGCTAATTTTAGAACACTGAATATACATTCCTGCTTTTTAACTTTGTTGTCATTACAATGACTGTTTTCAATTTTATTCAAAGCATCTGCCTTTGTATACTTTTCTCTTTAGCTTACTTATCCATTTCTTCTACTATGCTTTCTTTACACTGACTCAAGGACTGAACTCATGACAGCCAAGAAACCAGACACATTTCAACCAACATTTTAAATCAGTAGGCCATGTATCAATTGAATATAAAGGGGTGTTGGGACGCTAAGCAGGTTGACTGTTAACCCCGCAAACGGAAAAATAATATAAGGTTTGTTGATCGAAGCAAGGAGCTTAAAAACGAGGATGTAAAAGTTTAAGCCAAATTTTATTAAATAATCTGGCACGAATATATACAGACAATCGTTTGTAGTAGTTTGGTCGTGTAGTCTTGAAGGAGCGTTGTCAGGTTTCAAAGGCGACAGCTTGGAGGTAGGCCGAATGGAACAGCGATGTTCGAGGTCCAGTCGATCCCTGGATGTCTGTACTTGAGTAAAGGGCGTTATCGGCGCTTGCAGAAGAGAGAGGATCGACGCGACAGTGCTGTGGTGTAGTCAGTTCGTCTTGGGTAGACTGTCGTGCAGGATTTAAGCTTGGTAGTCCTAATAAAAAGGACATGGCAAGGTTAGTCCTGAAAAGGACTATTGCATATTATGTAATCGAGGGCAGACTATTGCATATCATGTAACCGAGGGTAGGCTAGTGCATATCATGTAACCGAGGATAGACTAGTGCATATCATGTAACCGAGGGTAGACTTTGCATATCATGTTGGGGAGTGTAGGCTAGTGCATATCATTTAACCGAGGATAGACTAAGTGCATATCATGTAACCGAGTGTAGGCTAGTGCATATCATGTAATCTTTGTAGGCTAGTGCATATCATGTAGCCGAGGATATATATTTGCATATCATGTATATAAGTTGTAGGCTAGTGCATATCATGTAGCCGAGGATAGACTAATGCATATCAAATAACCGAGGATAGACTAGTGCATATCATGTAGCCGAGGATATGCTGCTGCTGATGTCTGCGTCGCTGCTGCTGACGATGAAGCTGGACTGCTCTGCTGGCTCTAGCTGCTGCTGCTGATGTCTGCTGGTTGCTGCTGCTCAGAGGAGGCCGGACTGCTCTGCTGGTCTAGCTGCAGCGTGGGTGGGAGAGGGGAAGCTTATTCGCTCAACCCCGAGGCCAAAAATTCAGCCGAGAGGAATAATTTGGTGGAAAAAATCCGCTGTGTATATATAGGCTGAGGTCGGCAACGTAGCCTGTCAATGATATATTTGGGTGATGACTGAAAATTACCTTCTACTTTTTTGGCTGTACACATGGGTTCCATTCGGACACCATGTGTATATAAAGTAGTTTCTGGTAATTGTTTTTGGTTAGGAAAGTTAGTATATGTAAATGTTTCGTTTTTTTCTTAGTTTTGTGAGACGTTGACTGAAAAACGCTTAGTCACCGGAAGTTAACGGCATTTCGTTATGTTTTCCGTGGTGACGCTTTTTTTTAGATGTTTGAGTAGCCGGCAGTAACTTCCGGCCGGGTGCGATAGGGGAATAGACTAGAAAGAATTGATATGAGCTATCTCCTAAGCATTACAAACAAGTTTGTCTTATAATTTGGTCAGAATTTCAATTGTCCTTAAAAATGATATTTTGTTGAGTTCACTTTTCTAAGTCATAACATATGCATATTATTAACTAAAAAGTTGTTTATACTATGAGAATTTATTTAGATTCTTATCAGTTTTGTGTAAACCATCTAAAGAATTTAGACTATTTCGGATGTTTTCTGGGAATGACAGTGGGAATAATAAGTCGAATTTTCATCTTGCAGTATTTCAGCAACTGACCAGCAGAATTTGTATGACTCCTGAAATAAATTAAAAAGATTATAAAAAAAAATCAGAGTCGTTGATGCACACAACATACTCTATACATATATGTATATGTCGACCCTAAATAAAAACACTGACAGTTCAGTATACATTAACAATAGATACTTAAGCATGTATACCTAAAATCCTAACATATATACACACACAATCTCAAATGTAAATATGAATTAATTGTGAATCCCGTTTTTGATAAGAAAAATGGATAATAGTAAATTGAAGAAATTTCTAGATATTTGCTAAGCAGTGGATTTAATTTTGTTATGCTTGATGAATTTATCACAGACTATTTTGAATATTTATTTGGAAAATTAAGATAAAGTTCTGAAGGTGCATATTTTATAACAATTCAAAATGTTATTTAAAAATTTAATATTGAAAAAAGTAAAACTACTTCTTCAATTTTGAAGTCAAAATATACAATTTTGATCCAGGCCATAAATGTGGACATTTGCTGGATAAAATGGGATGCCAAACATTTGATAACTTATCAGACCTTGAAACTAGGATCCCTAAAGATATTAAAATGTCATTTTATAGCAAGACAAGATTGTCCCACAGAAGAGGAAATATTTAATAATACTCATTTTATTTTTAAGTAGATAGACAATCTTTAAAAGAAATAGATTGTGGTAATTTAAAAATTTCACTGGATATCACAGTTCATTGGGTGTTTTTCTGTTTTATAATGTTTGTTTGTTGTTAAATTGAAGATTTGCAGAAATTCTTTCGCAAAAATCTTTGTGTTAATTTCTGATATGCATCATTTCAACAGAGAGCATGGGATTCTTCTTCTTCAGGATGTAGGCATTCATGGCCCTCATCCTCCTGCAGTCATTTGGAGCTCTTAATAAGTTTTGTCTTTTTGTTATTTCTCCCAAACCTTGTTCTCCCATTCACTTGCTCAAGCCCATTAAGTATATTGCACATTGATTTCTCTTGACCCTCTTTCCCTCTATCTGTCCTGTGAGTATCAGATTTCTCTCCTTCCTCATTACATGTCCCAGAAATTTCAACTGCTTCTTCCTGATGTTAATTGTAAGTTTTCTTTTTATTTATCTTCTCTCTAAAACCTCATTATTGCTCACATGTTCAGCCCTTGGTATCTTTAGCATCCTTCTGTAGAACAACATTTCTTTTGCTTCAAGTCTCTTCTTCATCTTTGAGGAGATTATCCAGCAATTGCTGCCATACAGGAGGACAGATATCACATAACAGTTCAATACTCTTTTACTTTGTTTCCAATTAAATTTTCCGGTCTTATAATACTTTGCTTAGCTTTTGAAATGCATCTTTGGCCATCCCAATACTTTTTCAAATCTCAGTGTCACACTTTCCGTCTTGTTAGAACACTTCTCTGATATTGAAATTTCTGTACCTGCTTGATTTTAGTGTCCCTAACCTGTAAATTTCATTTTGAGCTCATCTTTTTGCTGATGACCATGCATTCTGTCTTGTAATTTATGCTTTGTCCCTTCTTCTTTCTCTCCTTCACTACCTTCAGTAGGAGGTTTTGTAGTTTCTTTTCTGTATCTGCTATCAGTACTGTGTCATTTGCATATCTTATGTTATTAAGATTTTGGCCACCAATGATGAATTCTGGTAGGATTTCAGAAGTGCCTCACTGTATAGGTTGAATAAGTCTGGTGAGAAGACACATCCTTGCCTTACACCCTTTTCTATTTTTGCATATCATTTTTTATTCATATGCAGGCAGTTTGCTGCCAGTAGAGATTTTGGATTATTCTAATATCTTTTCCGAATATGTCAAGGTTGCTGAGCAGCTCTAACAGATCTTTTTGGCATACATTGTTGAATGCCTTTACGTAGTCTACAAAATGCGGGTACATGTTCTACATTTGTATTGCTCTTTCTGATAACATTCTGAGCATAAATATTATGTTCCTTGTTCTGGTGTCTTTAATGAACCTACATTATTCTTGTCTTATCTCTAGCCTAATTCTGCTGTGTGCTCTATTCATTAGAATATGGATGATGAGTTTTGTTATGTGGCTCATTAGGCTGATTGTTCAGTGATAGTGCACATTCATTTGTGCCTGGTTTCTTAGGCAGTGCTATGAAAATAGATCTGCTTAGATCTTCTGGTATATCACCACTGTTGCAGATTTCATTTATTATTTCTGTAATCTTGTCTATGCTGAAATCATCTAAGGCTGCCAGTACCTCTATTACAATACTGTCTAGCCCTGCCACTTTGTTTCTGTTCAATTTGGCCAGTGAAACTTCCACTTTGGTTTTTAATATTTCCAACCCATTAGTATATTGCCAGTTTCATCATGGAAGAAATATATCCAATATATATATATTTGTTCCATGACTGAAGAAGTTTTCCTTTCTCTAATATGAACATTCCATCATTAGATTTTATGCAGCTTGTTGATGAGCATTTATTCTGTCCTGTAAGTTCCCTTATTTTTTATTCATATCTCCTTTATCTGTTATATTCATTCTCTCTCTTTCTGCACATTTTCCGTTCTTCTTTAGCTTGTTTCTTATTTTATTGTGTAGTTATCTGTATTTTGTTTCATGTCTTGTCATTGTTTTTTGTTTCCTTTGCATCATGTCAAGAATCTCATCAGTGATCCATTCGTTTTTTTTCTTCTTCATCCATTCTCCTTTGAGGTGATGTTGTTTGCTGATGTCACTAAAGCTTCTCTTAGTGTGTCCTATTTCAAGTTTTCATTTTGTCCCTTTTATATACTTTTCACACTGTCCATATATTTTCCCTTGAGGTTCGGGTTGTTCAGGAGTCTGTTGTATTGCAATTTGGATGCTGCATTAGGCTTCTTCAGTTTCCATAGTTTCACTATTAGGTATAATAGGGATGTGTTTGCAATTGTCACTTGGATAGGTTTTGAAGCAACCAACTGAATTCCTGAATCTTTTATTGATGGGTATGTAGTCAATTTGCTTTTTAGTTTCTCCTCCTGGATGTTTCTCCTCCTGTCCATAATTATTTTGGATGTTCTTGGGGCCAGGTGTTAGCTATTTCTTAGTCATTTTCTGTGCACCATTGGACGCATTTTTTTTCCATGTTTGTTGCAGGTCCCTAGTTTGAATTTACCAACTATCTCTCCTGCCCTCTCCTTGCCTACTTTGGCATTCAGGTCTCCCATTCTTGTGATTTGCACTGAGCCTTGGTGTTTTCTAATGTAACTGAGTAGATATTAATGTCAGAAATTAAAATGCGTAAACATACAATAACAACAATGAAAACTTGAGACATGTGTTGACATGAATAGCAAGAATTTGTATTTTCTTTTTGGCAATGTGAATTACAGAATATTGGTAAGGTGTGTGTAAAAATGTTCTCAGTGTCTCTTTCGTTTAAAAGTCAGTGATTACTTGCTTTGGTTCTGAGAATTTTGTTTGTGAGGATGCAGTTGAAATCATCTGTTTCTGATCTTCATGGAGCGCTGGCTAGATATGTGTTTCTGTACTGCTACTTGTCTACTGACTACTGCTACTGGTACCCTAGTCAACTCTATTGACTCTCTTGTGGTGGAAGGATCGTTTTTATAATGATGAGGGTTTGGATGATGAAATATCTTTATTTTCTATCATCACTGATGCACAGTTTATTTTTAGAATGATCATCATCATTCTGGAACATAATATCTAGCATGGATGTTGTAGCATACCTACAGACGATAATGGGTATGTCCCCATTCACATAAATACAGTAGTAAATATTGTATGTTGGTCTGCAGTTGGAGATTCATTGTGGAATTCACTTGACTCACTTCTAGCAGTTGACTACTTATTCTATGTGCCGCTAGCAAATCTTATGTGTTGTTCGTGGCCTAAGTATTACCATTCATTACCAACATTCATGTGATTATTCTATTCAGTAACAATGGAGTAGAAGATTCAGTTTATTGTCACATATATTTTTCAAAAATCATTGTTTGATTCACCTAAGACAACTCAAGAACCAGTACTAAAAATTTTGAAATTATCTTAAAATTTTATTTATAAGATAAAAATGTTTATACAATTCTCTTTAAGACTATGTGATTAGTATTAAAAATTCATATTTTTTCAAGTAGTAAAAATATGTTCATGAAACTGCATTAAAAAACCATTCTTATCCTTTCAGGGAAATATTTACCAGACATTTTTTATTTTCAATTTTCCCCACTTTTACATATATTTAATTGGTTAACACCAAAAATTATCCTTTTAATTAATTTTGTGTTCTTGTTAATATAAATTGACTTTAATTATTAAAACTATATGTACTGGTAATATATATTATTATATCATAGCAAAATAAGTGTTTTCTTCATCTTCTGTGAAACAAATTGTGCATGTACAAAAATCACAATAAATTTTGTAAAGTTTATCAAAATTATTGTTTGTCTAAAATTCACATTTTTTGTAAAGTATTTTCAGATTTTGTTGATACAAGATTTTGTAAAATGTTGAAATTGTTTTCTGATTGTATGATACAATCAAATTTTCTGTAATAAATTGGTATAAATAAATTAACTCATTATTTTTGCAATATCATCTAAAATGCCTCTAATTTATGGTGAATAAATTGATTTTTGTGCATTTAGTTATTTTATGGTAGAGGAGGTTATTTTTCTTCTTTCTTTGTACATTTACATTTATGGAAATAATTCAATAATTTTAAGCTGCTTGCTACTATTATATATAGTTGGTAATTAACTAATTATTGGATATTACTAACAAGTGACTTGCTAAACATGTTCTCATTAATTGTTATTTAGTAGTAATTTAAGTCTCCACATGTCCACCTCCAGTTGTGCAACCTTCCTGCTATTTCCTAACTTTACAAGAGCCAGATCTGGCTGAAAATGGATTACTGCTGCCTTCTATGGGCAGGAGCTGCTTTGTCTTCACATTCCAAGTTCAAAAGCATCTCCACTGCATCACAGGTGATGAATTATGTTCCAACTTACAACTCACTTCCCTGATCACTACAATCTTAACCTGTTTAAGTCTCAGCTTAAACATTATTTTCCCCCAACATATCCCCATAAACTGTACCTCTTACTCTTTAACCCTCTATCTTAAGTGGCTCTTGGGACTTGTACATCATAAAAAAAAATGATCAAATTGCATTTCCACTTTCCAATGATTTAATATCCAAAGAATCTTGAATTGATTAGTTCCTAATATCCTGGCATTATTTACCTTGACTAAATTACCTTACATAAATTACCAGAGACATTCTCTTTCTTTAACTCAGTCAAGAGATCTCTAATATTCATAGAGAGAAGATAATTTGGTTTAATTTCTTTATTATTTCTTTTCATCTGAGTCTATTCACAGACATTTTACAGACTATTAAGCTAATAATGATAGCTAATTATTAATAATAATTAAGCTAATAATTAGCTTAATTATTATTAAGCTAATAATGATAGCTAATTACTACTTGCAATAAAGTCAGTACAAGAAAAAGCAAAGAACTTGACAGGGTGGAAATATTACTAACAAGCTGGCTTTTTCTTTTCATGATGTTATTCAGTTTTCATTGACAGTTACATGAATGACAATTTAAAAAAAAAACTTTTTATCACCTACATTTTATAGAAGACAGGAAATATAGAAAATTCTAAAAGTCAGTAATATATTAGTGCTGAGTTTTATGTAACATTGTCACCTGTTGATATTTAAGATGTGAGAGACAAAACAGTTGATAAAACATTTTTATACTTATATAGTCAGTGACAATTTGGGGACTTTTTTTCTTCATGGACCGAAGAAGTCTCAATATGCTGACCTTCTCATTCATTCTTATCTTGCAAATCATCACACATAGAACACAAAAAATACTACTTTTGGTGATGCCATCCCTAAAATTGAATATAAAATTTTGTCACTTGAAAAAACAGAAGTCATTATTATTTTCAGCATTTATTTTATACATTTACCAAAGAATTGGCACTTTACAAATCTTCATGTCTGTAGTTTAAATTGAAGGAATTTATTCAGTTGACCATGCTTTTTTATTTTCATATTATTTGTCAGTTCTCCTAAGTTTGTATGCAAAAGACAAAGCTTAATTTCAAGTATGTCAGTCGATTTTCTTTGCATGTTCATCAACAAGAAAATATCAAAACAGCAATTACTGGATGCAATTTAACAAAAAAAAAAATAATTGTTTTAAGAAAGATAATATGACAAAAGGAAAAATCATTTTGCATCTTGAATGCAAAAATAATATCTTCTCTTTAGCTACAGATTGTCTATTTAGACTTTTATCAGCAGGTGAGTGATAATCATAATTATAGTAATTAATTACATGGCTATAGTTTTTATTTTTATTAATGGAAATAACGAGGTGAGAAGTCCCAAATAATTAAGGATAGAGCTGTGACAAACACCAGTACACACATTATAAAAGGAATAAATTCTTATTCTTACTTGCAATGAATAAGAAGTTGTTTTCTTAGTCCACAAGAATTAGTAACAGTTTGAATGAGTTCAATGAGATCAGATGGAAAAGGAAGCTGCTTTCTTTACCAAATTTTGGACTGGAATTGAACAACATAAACTGATTCAAGTGCATTCTGGGTGAAAAAGAAAGAAGAAATATTTGAAAATGATAGATTTTGAAACAAATAGATTTTTGTTGTTTAAGGCAAACTTTAACATAATGACATATTTTTAGAGCACTCGGCAAGATTAAATCTGATTCTAAGTTGCTTGCTTAAGACCAAGTACTCCTATATGGAGTAACTTTGTTTCAGATTATACAAGGGAGTGTTGAAAAGTTCTTAGCTTGTTCCAAAAACCATTTTAGAAATGATGTTTAGTTACATGGTCAGATATTTTTAAGTTAGTTGGGTTAATAACTTTTCAGCACCCCTTTATATTCATACTCTAATATGGTAAGGGTTAGGGTTCAATAAGGTTAGATTTTAATAGCATTTAGGCACAAACCCCCATTCACAAGACTTCTTTCTGTTACCTGCGTGCTAATTGGAATTCAAAAGCCAGCATCAAGGGCTTTGTACCATCTCATAAATACAAAAGATTGCCATCTTCACCTTGGTTCACACCTACCTGTTCAACTGCTATAGTCTACAGGAATCACTTTTTCCAGCTATATCAAGGTGATAACTCTGATCACAACAGAGGCCCTCTTTGTGTCTGCTCGTAATAAGTGCAAACATGTCCTCAATGAAGCTGTTGGTGTTTAGAGTGAGCCTCTCACAAGTTTGGTTCTTGTGACTACTAGCAGCTCTGTAATAGTGTGTGTAAAAAAAGGGGTAATGTCCTTCTCTCTTCAATCATTTTGAAATGCTATCATCTTCTGCTGATAAAATTCTAGACTCGATTCAACAGGTGTAACTTTACTAGACTTTCCACTTAGAACTCAGCTTTGAGTATGATATACATATAACTCCATCTATCATCTCTTTACTTGATCTCCATAAAGCATGTGGATTTGATTCTATTCTTGCAATTATCCTTATTTCAGCTTGTAACAACAGAATAGTCCCATGATATAAGACAATCTGAGCTCATATACAGTGGACTGAAAAGAATATGGTGTTGTAATTTGAATGATATGAAATGCTGAAGAAATCCAAGTTGATGGTAAAGAGAAAGGAAGCACAACCACTTCCATAGAGAATTATTACTTGTAAATCATTTGATGGGTTTCAATTTTCCTTGTATTTAATTAAAATAAGTTTTTGAAGCATTAATTTCATTATTTATTCTGACATTTTCATTAAATTTGCTAAGCAAATTAATTCTGGAAAGCTTACTTTAAAGAAGAAAAAAAATTCAAATAATCACCTGTTTAGTTGAAGAAACCTGAAAATATCTTTGAAAAAATGTTTTGCTTTCAGCTGTATTTGTCAGCTCCACTTTTATAGACCCATACACTTCAGTACAGTTTATCTTTTGTGGCCAATATACTGAAGCAAACTAAAAGCAAAAATTAAAATCTTCAAGATTTATACCAAGAGAAGATGAAAGGAAAAGCAAATTCAAATTTGTTGTAAATTAAATAAAAGTTAAATGTATATTGTTGGTTTATTGAAAGTTTAGCTTTGGGTCTGAATAGATATTGAGATTTTATTGAACATTTTAATAGACTCATTAGTGAATGTGGGAGTAATAAGTAACATGTGATTCAATGTATTTTAAAAGAAAGAAATGAGATTTGAATAGTTCATTTTCTCTATGAAGGAAATAAAAACCATATACTTTAAGTTTAAATAATACCATATATATTACTAGCAGCATGGCCCGGCATTGCCCGTGCTTGATTAAAAAATCGTATGACTCGTACAGCAATCGCTATCACTTGACTTAAAATATTTTTGCCCTTCCTTGCCTTTAAAGGAGTGCCCTTTGCCGTGTTGATGTTGCTACATGCCTTACTTCTTTCCTATCTCACACTGCGAATTTTTTCTAAGCTGTATACTAAATATTAAATCTGTTACGAAAAAAGAACTAAACAAAATAAACACAAAACGATCAGCTTTAAAAAAGGACTCTTAACTGGAAAAATCGAATGAAAAAACAATGTTAACAACAAATACTTTTTCACACCCAACCCAGTTTCCTGAAATATTGAGACTGGTCATAATACTACTTGGGCGGGGTTGTTGTTGCCCTTGTTTTGTTAAACTGGTACTTTGGAAACCATACATTGATCCGATTTTAATTTTAAATAAAAAGAGCTCAAAAGTGTTTAACAACGTGAAGTCAACTGCACAGAGTCCAAAATGAGGTGAAAAACTTAGATGTACTGGGCCGCGTAGTGCAGGCGAGACATTCAACTTAAAACCCCCAAAATCCATATCACCTGTGAGTTAATCGTTTTGTTTTACAAAGTTTGAGTCCCAAATAAAAAATCGGGCTCCGGCATGACACAATGATGTAAATTGAAAAATCGGATCTGGGATGCAGCCTGGGAGAAAGAACAAAGTTTAAAGAAGTGGGAAATGGACTGCTGAGGGCAGGGCCAACACGGAAGTTTGTATTGATTTTTGAATCATGACGGGGTCACACGGCATTCTATGCAAGGCACATCTAACTGTGCCGCGTAGGAATTTCTGGTTGAATTGTAAAGAACACCCAAAATTTTAGAATGTAATCTTCCCAAATACCGGAGTACCAGCCGATTTACCATTTTTTTTGAAAGCCTGAGTCCAAATTGAAAATCTGTCTCCGTTATGAATTGACGCCATAAATGTTGGAAGTTGAATCGACATTTGACGTTAATTGCAGCCTGGGTGTGAAAAGAAGTCAAAAACTAATAGCTGATCGCAGGGGTGAACTGGAGCTTTTTATCGTTTTTTTTTTTTTTTTTTTTTTTGTTGCACGAAGGGGTCTCGCACGCATTTTTGAAAGGGCCCGTAATCTGGTCGGGGCCATTCATTTTTGTACATATGGTATGGTGATGTGAGGAGAGACAATTGATGCTTGTAACTATACATTAGTTGGTGATGAGTTCAATGCTTCACAGTAATGCGGTAAAGTGGAGCATCCATCAGATGCCGATATACCCTTCACTTTCAGAAGATCCCCATTCGCACATTGTTTTGCTATGACAATTAATAAGGCCCAAGGACAAACACTATCTGTCACTGGTGTACACTTAAAGGAGCAGTGCTTCTCATACGGCCAACTTTAGGTAGCCTGCTCTTGAGTCAGCAGGCGCGATGATGTGTTCCTTTATTCACCCTCACAAAAAGCTGAAAATGTGGTCTACACTGAAGTCCTCAGCCAGTCTTCAGCAAACTCCATTTCATTTTTCCTTTCCATACAAGAAAATTGAGGTCCCTGCCAAATCAAACATATTGAATGCTGGATTTGTGGTTTTGAATAGAGACATAGCTGAACACAAAAAATTCAAATTTTTAGACATCTTTTCATATGCAACCAATCGCTGAATGCAAAAAAGGGATGCATCTTTTGCCCAAAAGACAGCACTGCCGCTTCCACAATCAGCATCACAATGCATGAGCAGTTAGATGTTGTTGCAACGTAATCGAGTAAAGTTTCTCCTCGAGGAGTTTCCTCAGTTTGACCACTCAAATCGAAGAGTAATAGGTCTTTTCAGTTCTGCAGTGGTGTGTGCAGCTGAAGCATGCAAGGTACACCATACCCAATTCTCTCAAATGCCCAAACACTAAAATGAGTACTGATTTGCATGGACGCGCTCAACTTCACTGAAAATTAAATGAATCTCTTCAGTTTTTGCATACGATTGGTTACAACTTTGCAAGATGTGATTAACGACCAGTTTGGATTTTCCTCAATAGGAATTTAAAGCAGTCAATAGTTGAAATCCACACTGCAATCTGCAATGTTAAATTTTCTATTGCAACCAATAAATTAGCATACATGTAGAATAGCATTTGCAGTAAGTACGGATGTGAAAGTGCAGGGATCTCAATTTTCTTGCATGGAAAGGAAAAATGGAATGGAGTTTGCGTATCACTGGCTGAGGACTTCAGTGTAGACCACATTTTTAGCTTTTTGTGAGGGTGAATAAAGGAACACATCCTTGCACCTGCCAAATCGAGAGCAGGCTACGTAAAGTGGACCGTGTGAGAAGCACTGCTCCTCTAAGTGTACACCAGTGACAGACAGCGTTTGTCCTTGGGCCTTATTAATTGTCATAGCAAAACAGGGTGCGACTGAGAATTGGGATCTTCTGTAAGTGAAGGGTACATCGGCATCTGATGGATACAAATGCATCCTTGGGATACTCACTTGCTCCCCTTTACCGCAGCCAGTTATAATTTTAGCCTCAATAATGTTTGGGTGTAGGGCCTGAATAACCATCCTGGTCCCATTACAGAGTTTCGGTGGACGCAGGTTTCTAAGCAACATAACCGGGATCCCCACTTTAAGTTCCAGAATGTGAGGATGGAGACCAGCGGAGTGGAGGCTGTTTAAGAACTCCACTGGAAAGTTCACCATTTCAGCAGGGTCTGGAGTTCTGTCAATGGATTTGTAAATGTGCAACACTATTGTTGTAGTTGGTTTGAAGATCAGGAAAAACTGATTCCCTGAGTGTTGCTGGCGTTGTGACCACTGTAGACAACTCTTGGACGTTTACAAATTCATTAGTGTTCGCTGGAATATTACTTTCGCCAAGGACTAATAATGAATTCAAAAATTCAGTGGACACAACATCGCCATTAGGTGTGCACGCATGTTGGTGGTAAGGTGCAATGGCCTAACAGTGGGCTAAAGTATGTGACGATTTTGTTGACACGCTTCGAATAGCATCAGCCCTAGGTACAACTCTAAGGGAGGGTCCATTTAAAAGGATTGAAGGGCTAGTTATACCTCCCATAAGGTCATCGGAGTTTTGAATATCCTCCAGAGAGCAGTTTACAGCCTTGGTGGCCCTTTACCATGGCTGTAAATCCTCCCTGAGTGGGACTCCTTCACCTGTACAATGGATAACCATTGCTCCCTGTAATAGTTTCACTCACGAAATCTCGTCGGTACTGCCGGGTGCATTTGCCGTCGCTGTTGTGACAGCTGGTGTAATTATAATGCGACCCACAGGGACCATGAATGATGTTGGTTGTCACTATTTTGTACAATTCAGCCCCAAAAAACTTGGCCCTTTGTAATCACATCCATTAGCTTTCCCAAATTCAGATGGTAAACACGCGCAATGAGGTCTGGACGGATGTAGGTCGATTGCCCTGGCATAAGTTCTTTAGCAATTGCGTAACATTTTGGGTTACACGTGAAAGTTATGAATAGGTCTGGTCGGCCATACTTACGAACATATGTCATCACGTCTTGTGTCCTTGCGTGCATGTATCATGGACTGCCTGTGAACGTTGCAGGTAGTATGCACATTTTGCCTATATTGCGTGGATCAATGCGGAAGTTAAAAGCATCATGGAGGTGAATGTAAGAGTCACAGCACAACTTGGTCTGATTCAATCTGATGTAACAGAGTCTTTCGGATTCCATCTTAGCAGCCATGTCTACTATGAATTGATGGAAAAGTTGCTGGCTTCGATGAAGATGATTGAATGCACCCTCATGTACCATCAATAGGTAGGTGTAGAAAGCCCTGCAAGACACTGTTTTTAAGGTGGACCCATTTTGCAGAATGCCAAAGTGGTACCCATCTTCTCCGTAAAGGAAGAGAAGTGGGTATTGCAGTGCATCATAGGACCGGTGCGTTTCACTGATTCTTCGGAGCCCACTGCTGCGCGATTCGATAACAATGTCACGTCTGTTGTGCTGATCACCGCTGACAATGATGGAAATTTCGTTATTTGCGGGAGCATTGTAACGAAGTTCGTGCTCTCCCTGAGGCCGTTTGTCAGCATCAATTACAATAATGAAATCAGAAGAAGTGTTATTTTCAAGAGCATATTTAAAACTGCGGACATAGCTGTTTGTCTCGTCGAGCATTTGTTGGAGACTCATTACGATATCCCTGCGAGGATGATTGTCCTGGCCTGTATCGTTCTCAGGAATAATGCCCATGTGGGCATCTGCCTGTTGATTGTAGTCAGCTATGAAGTATATTTGTAGAAAAGCCGAATCAGTGGTAGTTTCCGGCAAAAGAGACCCAGTCTGGTGGTAAACCTGACCTTGAACTTTGAAGATGGGATTCCAACCGACTTCGTGGAAGGCATTACCACCAAAATAGGTCATCTGGAAGACACAATTGTACTGTCTGATTTTTGCGAGGAAATGTTTGGAGTCTGGACTGGAACCCTCGAACAGAGCAGGTAGCTCTTGAAAAGGTGGAAACTGTACCTTACCATCTGAACAACATAAACCTGCAGACTCTCCAGGCCATTTTTTGGCATTGCAATGTGTTATACAAGAACATACCTATTCTATTGTTAATAAACTCTCCCACAGATAATAAGTAGTAGTAGTAGCAGTCGCCAGGGAGCTCAGTGAGTTGGTGAGTCAGTCGAGGTCGGACATTAAAGTATCAACCCCCACAACTAGATTGCTGCGTCATTAACTATTATTTCAAGTTCCTAACATTTTGTACGTTGGACCCTTTTAGGACTGACTTAGTGAAATACAAGCCTCCACTGTGAAAACTACTCTACAACACATTGGCGACGAGGGATTCGTAACTCATACGGAAGAAAAAAAAAATATTTCACGCGCCATAACCACACATTGGCGACGATGGATTCGTTTCTCATACAGAGGAAGAAAAATTTTTTGTTCACTCTATAACAACTTTGGCGACCAGGATTCGAAATTCATACGAAAAAAAATAAAAATTTAAAGAAAAAAAATATTCGTTTCGCCATATACAACACTTGGTGATGAACAGATTTTGGAGTCATATGAAAAAAAAAACAACTTTTCGTTCACTCTACAACACTTGATGACGTGGATTCGTAACTCACACGGAAAAAAAAATTTCACCCGCCATAACAAACGTGGTGTACGAGGGATTCGTTTTCATATAGTGAAAGAAAAAAAAGTTCGCTCGCCACATTATTTAGTGACGATATTCGTTTTTCATACAGAGGGAAAAGAAAAAAAAAAACTTGCTCGTCAAATTTTCGGCGACAACATCTCGGATTCACATTAAAAAAAAACAAACTTGGCAATGTTTTGCGAAAGACACAACATCAACTTAGTGACGAAAAAAAATCAGTCGTATTCTCAACTGAGAAAAGAATTTTTTTTTCTCAATAAAACAGTTTGCTCAAATAGGTCACGAATTGCAAATTCGTTTTAAACCCCCCTCTACAATATTTAATCATTGTGTAAACTTTTTGCGAAGATGGAGGAATGCAAAAATATATTCCAGGAATTTTTTAAGTTCTTAAGTTTTTAAGATGGAACAGCAAATGACAATATTAGAGCAACAGAAAACATTCCAGATGCAACTACAGGAGGAAACTTTTAATAGACAGATGCAGTTTCAACGAGAAATGGAACTGATGCATAAGGAGTTTCAAAACAAAATTCTGGAAATAATTGAGAATAGGAAAGAGAAAAAACTACAAAATGTTTCTTTTCCAGAGAATACAATATGAAATTTGATTGAAATATTCACGTACAGTCCAGATGAAGAGATAACTTTTGAAGAGTATTATAAAATATATACTGACATGTATAATGAGGATTGCCACACGTGGTATGAAGGAAAGAAGGTTAGACTTTTTTTAAGCAAGTTAGGAACTGCTGTGCATAACAAATTGGTAAACTACATTTTACCCAAAAAAAACTAGCGAGTTGATTTTTACCGAGGCAGTAAATATATTAAGTGAATTATTTAGTAAAACGACATCTTTGTTTCACAAGAGGTGGAAATGTTTGAATCTGATAAAAGATGAAGAACAAGACTATATAACGTACACAGCCAATATGAATAACCATTGTGAAGAATTCAAGCTAGCAGAGTTAAGCGCTGACAACTTTAAGAGCTTAGTGTTTGTTCAAGGGCTGGTATCAGAAAGAGACGCAGAATTGAGGAAATTGGTATTATCAAAATTGGAAAACGAACCGAGGATTACGATACAGAGTTTGGCAGAAGACTGCACAATATATGTTAGCGTAAAGAAAGACTCGAAAAAGATAGAACAGTCTGGCGTTTCGCATGTAAGAAAAATACGCTACAAAAAAGAAAGTCAGTCTACCAAGAAGAATTCTAAAATTGTGGATTATCAAACAAAAAGTGAAATACCAGAGAAAAATAGACAAAAACTCCTGAAGCCATGTTTGCGCTGAACTTCACTGGTACAGATATTGCAATTTTAGGAATAAAAAATGTTTCAACTGTAAAAGAGTGGGTATTAAAAGCTCGCACTGCAGGTCAAGAAATAAAGACAATAAAATAAGAAAATTAAAATCCAACGAAGTGAACAACGGAATAACCAGAAAATTTGTTACCATCGAAATAAGTAATAAAAGAATAAAAATGCAACTCGACACTGGTTCTGACCTATCTATCATAAATTTACATACGTGGAAAAAGTTGGGGAAACCAAGTTTAATGAAAACAAATAAAATCGCGAGGTCAGTGACGGGAGAAAAAATACAATTTATTGGAGAATTTGTTACAAATGTCACGTTAAATAAAAAAACGCGAAAAGCTTTACTATTTGTGATAAAAATACCACAAACTTACTTGGTATGAATTGGATAACAGAATTTCAATTATAGGATTTACCAATAAATTCTTTCTGTTACAAGGTTGAAAATTTAAACTGCAAAGCCCAAAAATTAGTAAGGAAACTTAAGGAAACATGTCTTACTGTTTTTTCTCCAGGTTTGAGAATGTGTACCAAGATGGAGGCAAAATTACAGCCAAAACAAAACGCTCAGGTGGTATTCAAAAAGAAAAGGAATGTGCTGTTTGCTTCAATTGAACAGATAGATAAAGAATTGGACAGATTAGAGAAAACCAGTGTATTTAAAAAAGTTGAGTGGGTAACACTGACGATATACGTAAAAAACAAGCTCCAGAATATAAAAATGAAGCTGACACCGAAAAAAACTGGGGATCGAGTTACCCGCAGCCACGAACATGCAGTATTATTAAATGATTTAAGTCGACAAGAAGAACCTACAGAAACTGTGAGTCCATCTTTAAGAAGCTCAAAGCGGAAGGTTGTTTCTGGTAACACTATGGAGATATAAAAAAAAATAATAGAAAAGCGGATTGGCTATATGATGTAGTTGGTGAAAGGGGAAAAACTCACGTACAGTAACTAGATCAGATGACGTTTTTCAGACGTGGTTGACAGAGGTCCCGCAACCGCCCCCCGCAAAAAAAAAACGCTGATGGAGGTGATTTTCAATACGTTTGATCTAACAATGCCTGCAAATAATTTTATCTGAGGTACACCGATCCAGAAGAAAAAAAAATAAAGGCAACTGATCTTTTAAAAGTGGATCAAAATTGTAGGAAATATGCTACGATGTTGCTAAAAAATAGAAAAAAAAATTTTTTTTTTGTTGTTTTTTCTTCATAAAAAAAAAAAATGAAAAAAAATAAAAAAACTTTTTTTACTCCTACGGAGTAAAGGTTTAGGGGGGATGTTATACCAGAACATACCTATTCTATTGTTAATAAACTCTCCCACAGATATTAAGTAGTAGTAGTAGCAGTCGCCAGGGGGCTCAGAGTGAGTTGGTGAGTCAGTTGAGGTCGGACATTAAAGTATCAACTAGATTGCTGCGTCATTAACTATTATTTCAAGTTCCTAACGTTTTGTACGTCGGACCCTTTTAGGACTGACTTAGTGAAATACAAGCCTCCACTGTGAAAACTACTCTACAACCCAATGCCCACAGACAACTGACATGGATCCTATTTGGAGGTCTTTGCAACTGGAAAGTCTCAAAACTGGTTCATAGTTGAACGTCAGCTTAAACCAAAACTGCTTTAGTGGGCTACAGAGCCCTTGCTGTGCATGCTGGTGCTGGTTAACAGTCTGCAACCTTTGAAGCCTTTCAGTAGATCCTTCCACAGCTCTAGCAGCGGAAGTTGAAATTGCATTGCATTGCTGCCTTGTGCGCTTTTGTGCGAAACTTTCCGATGCCCTTACAGCAGAAGTTGCAGTGGCATCGGCTGCATGGTGTGCGGTTTTCTCAGCCATGGATTCCTGGGACTGTTGAATGGACGTTGCCACAGCTTTTGCTGTGTTACGTGTGGTTTTCTCAGCCGTGGTCTCCTGGGACTGTCGAATGGAAGTTGCAGCGGCGTTGGCTGCATTGTGAGTAGCTTTTTGATGAGGGCTCTGTCAAGACCGCAAAAGCGCTTGTGATGAAGCCGCTTTTGTGTTGTCTTGCAAGCCTTTAGGTAGTTTCCTCTTACTTTTCAATGAATATGTGTAAACTAATTTGCAGTACAAACGGTAGTTATGCTCATCAAGCGTTTCATGTGACAAAACATACTGCCTCCATTGAGATTGACTGGAAAGCCTCAAAGAGGCCTCTACCTCTTCTTCCTCCCGATTTCTCTTGGCCGCAGCAGCTCTTTTAGAACACCTGCTAAGGTTGCCTTGCCATTTTGGTTGAAGTAGACGCCAACCGCTTCTCCCCCAAGGAGGCGCACTCAATGGAATCCTACTCCTGTTTCCCCTTAGCCGGTGAGGCTTTTTTAGAATGCTTGCTAAGGTTGCCTCACCTGGGTGTTTTTTAGCCTTTGCAGATCTGCCGGGTTGGTCATCCCCACGGCATGCAGAAGAGTGCAAAGCAGAAGTTGAAGTAGACACTATATGATCATTTGTAACCGGAGTTATTATGTGCTCCTCCGCAGTCACCTGTTCTGCATGTTTAACGTTAACAGTACTAGGGGTCTTTAGTTGCTGACGTTCGGATGTTTGTCGTGTAGAAGCCATTTGAAGGGTTGTAGAAATGCTGTGTAAGAATGCGAATAGAAGTTGATGCCGAAGCTGAAGTGGTGCAACCTCATTGTATACGAAAACTAAAAATGCAGTGGAGCGGTAGGGAAAAAGCTTCTCCTAGCTATGGGCCGTGCTTTCTGGCAGCACGAGAACATCACTGTAGGAAGAGGTTACGCAACCAAAATGTTGAAGCATTGAAGGTTAAAAAGTAGTGAAACACTGAGGTGTACTGGGCCACGTAGTAAAGGCAGAAGAGAAGTAACTTGTGACAGCAGTTAACTGTCTAATAGCAAAACTGAACTACGAAAAAGTAGAAATAGGTATGGAACGCTAAGATGGACTGGGCTGTGCAGTAAAGGCAGCTGGTGGAGATAAAATGGGTAATGCAAATGTTTAAGCAAATAGGCAGTGAAGTACTAAGGTGTACTGGGCCGCATAGTAAAGGCAGTACACTTCAATTACAGTGAAAACTGTAATGTGGAGGTAAAATAGGTTGGGCAAACGATTGAGTAAATAAGTAACTTGCGACAGCAGTTAACTGTCTAATAGCAAAACTGAGCTATGAAAAGGTAGAAATAGGTATGGAACGCTAAGATGGACTGGGCTGTGCAATAGAGGCAGCACGCAGAGATAAAATGGGTAATGCAAACGTTTAAGCAAATAGGTAACTTGCGGTAGCAGGAAGCTGTCAATCAATCCAAGGACAGATGTGTTAATGGCGATCAAATCAAGACATGAGTGCGGATGCAGTCGCGCTGAAGGTATTTAAAGGGAGCGTGATTGTCATTGATTGGTGTAGCCTGGACAATGGCCATGACTTAGACCAATGAATGAGCTCATGCAAAATGGAAGATATTTCCAGCGCATTCACGCGCACGATGACAAAGGCTTGATTGTTTCTCATCATGAGTCAAGTTGCCTGCTGCATATGCAGCTTAATTCTAACGCATGGGACTACATTGTTTTTACAATCTGAAAAATTTTCCATTTATTAATTACCATAGTTTCATTGGGGTTGCCCGGGATGTGTTTATAAGAGATAGATCAAAATCGACCATCATAAAGACTGAAAAATAAAATTGACAAAGATTATTGTTTAAGGTTGACGGACACGCATGTCTTAATTAGTTTTTTTTTTCTTTTTTTTTGACGAATTGGTCAAACCCAAACTCAAACAAAAACATTGTTTTCAATCTTAAAATATAGGAGGGAATTTACATTATTTATATGTCATGATAAAATAAATAGAAAGAATAGTAATACAAAGTTTCTATATAGCCCCTTGTGCAGATTTGATTTTTACTAACAACTTTTCTATTTATTTACACTGTTTATATTCATACTATTGTCCTCATTGTATGAAGACTATAGTCTCAATATAAATAGGGTGAATAATGATAACGCCTCATCCCAGAAATTCAAACAGCAATTATTCTATACAAGATAGAATGCAAAGGAAAATGAATTCATTCAAAAAAATAAAACATGTTTCCTTAAAAGAATCTAAACTTTCAGCCAATCAAGCATCTTCTTGAATACAAGGAATATTTTTTTGTGATAAATGGATTAGAAGAAGTGGACTAATATTTTAGCTCAAGAAATTTGTTTCCAAATTTGTTTCAAAGCTGAAACATTAATTTGTGGAGGACACAAATTTAAAATGAAAATAAAAAAAGAATTAAAATTAAAATAAGGCATTTACTTTCCTATAAAATCCATATCTCTTTCTCTCTATCTGTCTCTCTAGTCTTTTGTCTCTATACTTCTCTCTCAACTAACAAGAAGGTGACCCTTAATTAAAAATGAAGAAAAAAATAAGAATGGCTGCAAAATGTTGGAAGCTTGCTAGTCCATGGGTCCAGCCATTGTGACTAAAAATTTATCAAAATAAGAGAGGCCCCACACATAACTTCTGCTACAAAACACAAATTGAAAAAGTAAGGAATGCCAGAATATAAAAAAGAATTTTGTCTAGTCAAAGAATTTAACACAAAGAAACTTTTGATGTTAGCTGAAACTAATCTTTGTGCCAGTAGTTTAGGATCCTGTTCAAAAAGGATATAAATAGATAGTTGAAAAACAGAAGAGAAGGGAATGCCAGAGAAACTATCCAAGTGTATCATGTGAAGAAGTTAAGCGGTCATCTGCTCAAGACATTTTCCACCATTCTGAGGGCCAAGAAAACACAGTAGGTTGATGCCACATCTATTTCCAAGATGACAACTACTATGAAGATCTGACTACTACACTGTCAACTACTGACCCAAAACTTTCTCCTGATGTTACCAAGATCTGACTTATAAATGAACTTTCACTACCCCAAATTATCGAAGACTGACTTCAATCAAAGTCAAATAAATGTATATTATTTGTTTATATCTTTGATTCTTTTCATTTATTTCCAAAGATTTTGATAAATATTGCTAAGAACCTCTGGTACCATTACCAAAAGTTCACTCAAAGTGTCTATCTCAAAGACTGTCATACAATAAGATTTATAGCTTGACAGAATCTCTGCAGAATGTCTTTTCTTTTAACAACAATATCTTTGCTTTTTATCATTGTCTGATATATTTAAACTGCATTGTATCCTTTATACACACACTCTTTTTATGCACTTAACATATATGAAATCTTTAGAATTATAATTTATTAAGATGCTGTAATATCCTTTTTAAATATGATGGCGTAATATGAAAATGTATAAGGCATGTGAGTTTATATTTCTTATAAAAAATAATATGATCAAATACAGCAGCTGTCATTTGACCTAAAAGTGATATCAAAAGCTTGCGACAGACCTTTTCATTTAGCAGTTGTACATGACAATTAGTTGAATGAAACTTTAATTTTATTTCTAGCCTCTATCAGATTATCTAAATTATGACATTTCTCTGAGGAATTGATAAATGTGTATTTTTATGTAGAGATCTTATTTGAATCTATTGTAACAGAGCACTAGCCTTGTTTAAACTTTTAAAAGTATGAAGTTACAGAATGGTGATTTGGTGAGACTACTAATTGGATGATAATTGTTGAATTATCAAGAATTCTTAAGATAAAAAAGAAAAAAATCCCAAACTTTATCATGCTTGTCTTGAAGGTCCTGTCTATAAACGTATATATTTTGTATAATTATTTTATTTTCAAAGGAGACTAGACTGACCAGCCTAATGTATTTAAATCCAGTACTAGTAGTATTCCATAAGAGTGCATTTATATAAGCTCACAAATCAGATGTCTCTCTAGTTGTGGCCATCTTCTATAGTTTGACCAGTCAAAATGAATGGGAAAAAGCATATGCTTTCTTTTTTTTTTCTTCTTCATTAACAGATTTTTCCTTCAGAAATTATCTCAGCTATTAATGTCAAAACATTTTGCTACAAGTGAGCTTTACTCCCTCCCGCTCTCTCTATCAATTTCAATTATTTTCAAGACAATGCTTTGAGAAAGTAAAACATATTTTTAAAGTTTTTGTTTTTTGCAAGGAATTGTCTTTAATAGTCATGTGTTTTCAGTCCATTTGAAATCAGTTATAAATTTTGAAAATTTATAACATCCTGTTGGTGTTCATGAGAAAATCTGTTCATTAAATAATTAGTAAATCTTTCAAACAATCAAGTGATATGATTTTATAGCCAATGACAAGATACAGTAGAAGTTAGAAACATCAGTGTCATTCCCTTGCTTAAAAGAAGAGAAATAATTGTTCTTCCCACCCAAAGCTCAAGTCTTTGTTGATTAATAGTGTACAGAAAAGAAAGTCTTTTTATAAGAATATTTTGCTGAAGCCTTTAATTTGTGCTTTATGTCAATATAAATACTTTTGTCCTGAAGAAATTCATTCCATTAACTCTATTTGTTTCAATTTTGTTATTGTTATCTATATCATTATGGTTTGATATATGTTTGTAATTTGTTTGTTACTGTAAAAGAACAAAAACAGCACATCATAGCAAGATTTTTGTTAGAACAATACCTTGAAAATGTTTCTAATAGAAAAAATAAAGCAACTTGCAGTCTAATTTAGAACTTAAAAATAATAGTATTTGGTCTGCATTTATGTTCACATTGATAATGATTTAATTTTTTTTATTGGTGTTTAAAAGCTGAAATTAAAATAGCATCTCTTTAAAAAAAATGAATGGAAATGAAAAGATAACTAATTGAAAAAAAATATCTTTATTTCCCCACCTCCGAAAAAAAAAAAGAAAATATGCTGAGTACATATTTTTATGTTGAAATAAAATTTATTAACAAAATAACTCATTTCATTAGTCTAACTATTCATGCAAAATTACTATCAATTTTCATATCTTTTTTTCATATGTTTTCTATTTCATCATGAATATTTCAAAACTGTTACAAAAAGAAAATGAATTGTAAGCATG